TGCGCTCCGAGGCCAGAGCCCTCCAGGCGCGGGGGCCCCGGAGCTGGGCAACGACACCCGAGCTGGGTTACCTGCGGTCTGCAGAGTGAGAAGGGCCCCCAACCTTCCTTGACCCCAAAGGGCCCGGTCTGGAGACAACTAGTGAGGCAGAGCCAGAAGGGAAAAAAGGGCTAGGCTTTGGTGTGCTGGGGAGAAAACTATTAGCTTTAATTGCTCCAGGCCTAGCCAAGCTAAGTAACTGTAGACACCTAAGTTTATCAGGCACCACATTCTATTTCAGGGCATCATAAATTAGTACCTCAGCCCCCACAGTCACCAAATTTGTGTTTCCTCTCTAACTACTGGGGAAGATTGGTACAGATTTCTCATGATAATTTATCTCTCTTTTTTTTCTTCTCCCTCCCGAAGCAAAGAATTAATGTATTTCCTTTTATTTGAATATTTAGTGTCTTGAACTCAACTGCTTTATCGGGATGTAATCCTAAAAGGTGCAGTCTTTTGAAATCGACTTGTTACATAACCACTAGTTTCTACCAGCAGACCTTTAAAACATTTGTAGAAAATACACTCTTTAGTGCACCCTATATATGTTTATTTTTTTTATACCAGCTCTTTACAACTTCTTTCTATTAAGAGGACATTCAATGAGGCCATAAAATCATTGTCATATTTGAGGTTGGACGAAGATATTTAATGAGAGCAGAATGTTTCACCCACCACTGATGGCACACAATTTGCTTTTAAGTTGTTTCCACCAGGGGTGTCCACTGAAGTCCACACATTAATTGCCCCGGGCCACACCATTTGTTCCCTTAAAGAGGTTTAGTATGTTAACCTATTAGAGAGGCACATGCTTATGTTTCTCTTCCCAGGGCACCTTTGCCATCAGCCCAAGAGTATGAGATAAATTGCATTTGCAAAAACTAATGGGAATGCACATGTTCTTATACAAAATGTAAAATTCTGCTTTTCATCTTGCCGACTTTGGCATGAGGTTGGCCTTTTGAGGTCATCAGTTTCTTTAAGTTCGCACTCACAGTGGGAGAAATGGAGAAATAAGAAACCTAAAGTTTAATGGAAAATGTTTTTTAAATCCAATTGAAGAAAAATAAAGCATTTACAAGCATACGAGAGCCAGCAAGTGAAACTGTAAACACCCTCTCTTCAATGCTTAAGTAAAGTACAGGTTTTAAAGGGACTGTGTGTACCCGTACGATGAAAGATAATTTTTAAAAATTAGAAAAACAAAGCAGGCCATGAAACAGAGGAGGCGTGTTTTTAAATATTTAACAGTCATCTTGCAATGTCATTTAAGAATTACTGTACTTAGATGAGGGTCAGGCAAAAACTCTTTTGTGCGGGGAAGCTACTTACAGAGAAGCCTTAAAGAAAAGAGTGACTTTGGCTGTTTCCCCTTCTCTTTCTGCCTGGATGGGGAGCCCACCTGGGAAGGGACTGTGATAATATCAAGGAAGGAGGGTGTCTGGGAGTGCAGCCAGCAGCTTGGATGTTCACGAGGTATAATGGTGAGATCTACAAGGAAATTCTGATCCCAGGTTGGGATACCTGTGTCGTAAAACTTGGCTTCTGGAAATTAGATGCTTCCCTGCCATAGTCCCCGAGAAAATAATGCAGCTACTCTCCCCTTACCCTCTGTAACCGCTGACTGGTGTGCTTTTATCCTTTCAATGGAAAAGTCAAACTTTGATACCTTTGTTTGAAACTTTGTTCATTTTGTATGAAATGGTGCCTGGATATCCCTGATTTTTAATTCCAGAGATAATTAAAACATTACTAATAACGTGGTGTTATGTAGTTCTCCGAAAACAAAGGTTAAGAGGAATGGAGATTCCTTGTGGTCCAAGCCAGTTTCTTCTTTTCTTCTTTTTTGAAATTGAATTCATTGGGGTGAAGCTGGTTAATAAAAGTATACAATGCCACAATTTATCATCGGTATATTCCGTTGTGTATTTACCATCCCAAGTCAGGTCTCCTTCCCAGCCACTTTAAACAGAAGCCATGGTTCAGACCCAGTTCAGCTTGACAAACCGTCCAGCGCCCCCCACAGGCAGGCACTGGGCTGGGGCTTGCCATTATTGCCGCTGGGTTTTGTTTCACATCAGCACAAAGGTGGGCGCAGTTACAATGGCCAGACCCATTCTTGGTGGATTTATGAACCTGAGCCATCAGACCATGTAGCCTTAGAGCCATAAAATCTCTTTGAATTCAAAGTTTCAAGGTTATTAAGTACCAAATATTTCTGTACAATCACCCATTACAAAGGCAGGTTGAAAAAACAATACTTGGGTAATCCTTTTGCTTTCTCAGCTGCTTTTGGCAGAGAACAGCCCGCGTATATTAGCAGACCTTGTACAATATGATGTGCGTGTGCTTCTTTGGAAAGAAAGAGCCATAAAATACTTTAAAAGTTATAAATAGCTTTTAAGTTTGTCATATCCAAATTAGTACATATGGATGGGCCTGAATCCTTGATTCCTATTCCATGGCAAGATCAATATTATTTTATTACTTACAATAAATTATAGTCCACTTTGTTCAAAATCTTAATCTGACTATTAAAGGCCAGAACCAAACTCACAGTCTCACATTCATTTATCTCTTTTCTCTTTTCTCTCTCTCTCTTGTAAGTTAATCATGGAAATCAACTCCAGGCACAAAGTTTATGAAGAATTTTGAGAAAAGAGAGTAATACTTCATGAGATTAGAGAAGCATTACTACTGCTCA